AACTGCTTTACTATCTACACGAGTCCCACTTTCTCACATTAGGCCCACATGAATGTTATGACACTTTAAGAGTTCATCCAAGTACTTTTTAAAGGTTCTGAGCTTTACCGCCTCAACTGTCCTCCAGGCAGTGCATTCCAGATCCCCACACCTCCTCTGGGTGATTCAGGTTACCTCAAATCCCCTCTAAACCTCCTGCCTTTCACTTTAAAATGACATCCCTTTGTTACTGACCCCCAGACTAAGGGGAACAGCTGCTTTCTACTAATCCTGTCCTTGCCCATCATAATCCTATGACACCTTTGTCAGGAACTGTCCCACCCCCACCTCAATGTTCTTTACTTTAAAGAAAACAACTTGAACTTACCCAACCTCTTCATAGCTGAAATGCTTCATCACAGGCAACATCCTGGTGAATTTCCTCTGCACCCCCTCCATTGCTATCATGTTTTTCCTATAGTATGGTGACCAGAACTGCACACAGTACTCCAGCTGTGGCCTATCCAAAGTTCTGTACCAAAATGGTTGATGTTGGTGCCATTTGGAACTTTCCAGAAACTGGAATTGATGATTGTTGTTCTTGAAGGGTCATGGAACCAAACTGACAAGATGGAGTTTAGTTAATGACCAGCAACTATCTCACTGAATGGATGTACCAGGTCTGATGGGTTGAATGGTCAACTCCTGGTGTTCCTACAATAAGGTGAATGTGTTGGGCACGTTTGACCTTAGCTGGGGAAGAGACTAAACAGCTCTGATCCGTTTTTCCGTATGCAAACAGGCCATTCAGCCCAACCAGTCCGTGCTGGCATTCGTGCTCCACATGACCTTAACCCCATCCCCACCTCAACATACCAGCACGCCCTTTCTTTCTCCCTCGTGTTTATGTCGCTCTACCTTGCATTTAAAAAGCATCTACCACTCTTTGAGACCACATTGCCTTGGTGAGGAAATTTCTCCTGAATTTCCCATCGGATTTGTTAGTAATAATAATCTATTGAACACAGCGACAAAGTACGTTCTCCCTACCTGACACGCCCGCTCCTCTTGCTAAATGGTACTGGCGAAAAGGTGCTCAGATTATTTTGCTCGTTTTTAGGTGCCTGACCAGAAAAGACTCATTCGATCCCTGAGTATTCGTCAATGGATGTCTTTGGTGGCGCTCCGAGATTTTTATCGTATCCCAGGACGTTCACGGTGCCCAATGGGGCAGACGCCGTTCTCAAATGCCAGATCATTGGGGACCCTCGTCCAACGGTGATCTGGGAAAGGGACAAGACACAGATCTCCCCTCGCGGTCGCTACCGGTTCCTGGAGGACGGCAATGTCTATAACCTGGTGGTGTCGCGGGCCAGGGTGGAAGACAGTGGGCAGTACATCTGCAAGGCCAAGAACGGGGTGGGGGAGACCTACGCGGCCGCCACCCTCAAGGTGGAGGAGTGTGACGGGAACCCGAAGAACCGGCCGGCCTTCGTGGTCAAACCCACCTCGGCCAGAGTGGTCCGCGGCCACGACGTGGTCTTCACCGGGCGGTTGGCCGGCTCCCCGATGCCGGCGGTGACCTGGGAGAAGGACGGCAAGAAGCTGAGCGAGATCTTCGAGAGCGGGCATTTCAGCGAGGGCTGCGACGGTGGAGGATGGCACCACCTGAAGGTCTTCAACGCCCGCATGCCCGACGGGGGGGTGTACCTCTGCAAGGCGCGCAACCTTTTCGGCGAGGCCATGTCGGCGGCCGTCCTCCTCGTGGACCCAGGCGACGCCCCCAACGAGCCAGCCCCACCCACAACCGCCACCAACGGTCTTGGGGTTAGCGAAGGGTCAGGTGCCCAACGGATCCGGCGCGAGGCGCGGCGCGGGAAAAGGCATCGCCTCGCTCACCGCGAGCCGCAGTCAGTCTCCGGCGTCGCCTGCCAGAGCCAGGGTACAGAAGAGCCACCGAGGGCCTGCAAAGTGAAAGTCTTCTCCGTGACGGAGGGCAAGCACGCGAAGTTCCGCTGTTATGTCACCGGGAAGCCCAAGCCAGAGATTTTCTGGAGGAAGGACGGCAGGCTGATCGTCCCCGGTAGGCGTCACCTCCTCTACGAGGACAGGGAGGGCTACTTCATCCTCAAGGTGCTGTACTGCAAGCAGCAGGATAATGGCCTCTATGCTTGTGCAGCCTCCAATGCGGCTGGTCAGACCCTTAGCTCAGTGCTGCTCAACGTCAAAGGTAAGATTAGAATGCATGGAAACATTTCTCAGTAAGAATGGCAGGAGTGAGAAAACAAAGCAAAAGCATCTATTTTATGATGATATGGAGTCTACACATTTAAAAAGAAAATCCTTTCATGGGTGTCGCTAGCCAGACCAACGTTTTGAAGGGGCAACAAAAACAGAAGTTGCTGGTAAAGCTCAGCAGGTCTGGCAACATCTGTGAAGAAAAAATCAGCGTTAACTTTTCGGGTCCGGTGACCCTTCTTCAGAACTGATGTGACATCTTATCAGAAGTGCAGAAGGGTCACCGGACCCGAAAAATTAACTCTGATTTTTTCTTTACAGATGTTGCCAGACCTGCTGAGTTTTTCCAGCAACTTCAGTTTTTGTTCCTGATTTACAGCATCCGCAGTTCTTTCGGGTTCTTTTGAAGGGGTAACTTGTGCTGTGGTTAAAGGATGCCATGTAGACGTGCTACATTTAGACTTCCAGAGGGTCATTTGATAAGATGCCATAGCAAAGGTTATTGTGGAAAACAAAAGCTCATGGTGTAGGGGGTATTATGTTAACATGATTGGAAGAATGGCTGGCTGGCAGAAGACTGAGACTGAGTAAATGGCAGATGTGATGAGTGGGGTCCCACAGGGTCTATGCTGGATCTCAATAAGCATGACAGGAGTGGAAATTAAAACACAAATCTCAATCTTACGTCTGTTTTCCTCCATTTCCTTCTGAGGTAAGTTCATTGAACATTTTTAAGACAGAGGTAGAAAAATTTCTGAAGAAGGGTCACTGGACTGAAACGTTAGTTCTACTTTCTGTCCACAGATGCTGCCAGACCTGCTGAGTTTTTTTCCAGCCATTCCTGTTTGTGTGTCTGATTTCCAGCTTCTGCGGTTCTTTCATTTATTTTTATATAGAGTCTTGTTAGGCAGGAGGCTCGAGGCTTATTGGGGTAGAATGTGAAATTCAAAACACAATAGACCAGCAATGGCCTTATTGAATGGTGAAGCAGGCTTGAGGGGCTGAATTTGTATGTTCTTACGTTCATTTTCTGCCCACCCCTAATTAAGAAGGTGCTGATGAGCAGCCTTCTTGAATTGCTGCAGTCTCAGGGGTATAGATCCAACCACAGATTCATAGGGCCCTTACAGTGCAGATAGAGGCCATTTGCCCATGGAGACTGCACTGAGTTTCCAAAGAGCATCCCATCCAGACCCAACCCCTATTCTATCTCCATAACTCCGCATATACCATAGCTAATCCAGTTAGCCTGCACATGCTTGGACGGTGGGAGGAAACTGGAGCGCCCAGCAGAAACCCACACAGTCACCCAAGGCTAGAAGTAAACTGGAGTTCCTGGCGCTGTGAGTCAGTAGGGCTAATCACTGTGCCATTCAAGAGTCAATTGCAATCTCCAGAATGTTTTTAGTCAGGATTCAATGATCATAATGCAATTGAATGCCAGGCACTTGTGTAATACCACTTGACACTTAGTAGCTCAGGACTAGATATTGTAGAGGTCTTGCTGCATTTGACTGCTTCAATATTTGAGGAGTTGGGAATGGTGCTAAACATTATGCGATCGTTGGCAAACATCCCCACTTCTGACCTTACAATGGAAGGAAGGTCATTGATGAAGCAGCTGAAGATAGTTGAGCCTAGGACACTACTTTGAGGAACTCCTGCAAAGAGATCCTGGAGCTGAGATGACTGACCTCCAACAACCATGACCATCTGAGGAAGGGTCACTCGACCCGAAATGTTAACTCTGATTTCTTTCCATAGATGCTGCCAGACCCGCTGACCTTTTCCAGCAATTTCTATTTTTTCCCCATCTTCCTTTGTGCCAGGTATAATTCCAATTATTGGAGACTTTTCCCCAATTGATTCCAACTTTTCGAGGGATCCTTGATGCCACACTTGATTAAATGCTGCCTTGATGTCAAGGGCAGTCACTCTCTCTTCTGAACTTGAGTTCAGCTCTTTTTTTCTACTTTTGATGCAGGGCTGTAATGAGGTCATTGTCTGAAGAAGCGCTTGCTGACATTATGTTGTGGCTATAAAGGGAGTGCAACAAAGTTTTACCAGACTGATTCTAGGGATGACAGAACTGATGTCTAAAGAGAGACTGGATTGGTTAGGATTATATTCACTGGAATTTGGAAGAATGAGAGAGGATCTTATAAAAACCATAAAATTCCAACAAGGTAAATACAGGAAGGACGTTCCTGATGACCAGGGAGTCTAGAACCATAGGTTAGATCTAAGGATATGGGACAGGCCCTTTTGAGGACTGAGATGAGTAGAGATGTTTTCATCCAGAGAGTGTTGAGCTTGTGGAATTCTCTCCAACCGAAAGTGGTTGAGGCCAAAACGTTATAAGTTTTCATGGAGGAGTTAGATATAGTTCTTAGGACTAAAGAGGTCGAAGGAAATAGGGAGAATGTGGGAACAGGATACTGAATTAGATGTTTAGCCGTGATCGTATTGAATGATGGAGCAGTTTCAAAGGGCCGAATGACCACCTCCTGCTCCTACTTTGTTTCTAGAGAACTAACAGCAGCAGATACATGGGAATGCTACCACCAGTAAGTTTCCCTCCAAGCCACTCACCATCCTGACTTGGAAATACATTTCCATTCCTTCAGTGTTGCTGGGTCAAAATCCTGGAACTTACTTCCTGACAGTGTTGTCGGTCTACCTATAGTTCGTGGATTGTAGTTGTTCAAGAAAGCAGTTCACCACCACATACTCAATGGCAACTAGGAATGGACAATAATTGCTGGCCTTGGTGTTGTTGCTTATGAAGTGCTTGTTTTTTTTTAAAAAATCTAAGTTGCAACAGAGACCTGGTTCGTTATTCATTTCATGTCTCCTCCCCAGAACCTCTCATCAAATTTAAGAGCCAGTTGCAGGATGTCGAGGTGAACGAGAGGGAGCAGGCAATCCTGGAGTGTGAGGTCCCGGGAGACTCAATCCCAGCTGTCTGGTATCTTGAAGACCGCAAGTTACACGCCAGTGCCAAGTACATCATCGAGCAGCAAGGAGCAGTGCATCGCCTTACCATCAAGGATGTAACCATGGATGATGATGGGGTTTACCTCTGTGAGATGAAAAATGGCGGCAGGAGCATTGCTGAGGTGGCAGTAAAAGGTAATTGGTTTAGAACCCATGGAGTGAGTGCAGCCCCACCCCAGGTGTACATGTTGATGGAATGGACAGTGGGCGAGGCTGAGGAATTAGTCCCCACCTATTGAATGACCACTTATTCTCCCAAACACTGTCTAGTACACAGACAGAGTCCCCACAGTCAAGATTGGCGATGGTCATTAGCCCCTTGGAAATACTCGCATTTTCTTTTAAAGAACCTAAAAGCAGAGCCAACATTCCCCATCTCCCAGCCTCGCGAATAGCCATGTCAGCTCTATTTTAGATCAGCTAAAGTCATTGAGTCACTGTCTGTCATCTGAGTCAGAAGGTCATGGGTTCGAATCGCATTCCCGAGACTGCAGCACAAACATCTGTCAAAGGGTCAGTTTGCATTGTTCGAGGGTCAGTCCTGAAGAAGCGCTATACTGTTGGAGGTCCAGTGCTGAGGGAGTACTGTACATCAGAGGTCAGTGCTGAGATGGTACACTGTCAGCGTCAGCACTGAGGGAGTGCTGCACTGTAGAGGGCCAGCACTGAGGAAGTGCTGTGTTATTGGATAGTGTTTACTCAGTCTCAAATGAACTGAATGAAAGTAAAATTGTTGGAGTCAAGATTTGATTTGAATGTCTGAAATTATTCATTCCTTCCCAACCTTCTGAAGGTAAAATTGTGAAGCGATTACCAAGGAAACTGGATGTACTGGAGGGAGAGAACGCAGCCTTCTGTGTAGACCTTGATGAGGAGAATGTGGAGGTGTCCTGGTACAAGGATGGGGAGCTGCTGACCGAATCCCACAAAACAATCATCAAGTCCTTCGGGAAAACCCACATTCTGGTCTTTGTTAATGTCACAGCGGAAGATTCCAGTGTCATCACCTTCGTTATCAGTGACTCCAAATCATCGTCGCAGCTCCGTGTGAAACGTAAGATACCTGAAGCCAGACTGAGTTTTATTTTGTTTATATATTCATATGATGTGGGCATCGCTGGCAAAGCCAACGTTTATTACCTGTTCCTAATTGGCACGATCTGAGTCACTTTCTAGCGTCATTTCAGAGGGCAGTCGAGAGTCAGTCACATTGCTGTGGGTTTGGAGTCACATGTAGGCAAGACCAAGCAAGGATGGTAGATTTTCTTCCCCAAAGGACGTTATTGAACCAGTTGGGCTTTTATGACAATTGACAATAGTTTAATGGTAATTTATTAGACTAGCTTTAAATTCCGGCTATTTTATTGAATTGCAATTTAGCCATCCTCTATGGTGGGATTCAAACCCACATCACTAGAAATTTAGTCTGGGGTTCTGGATTATTGGTCCAGTGACAATGCCCCTATGCTACCACCTCACTTTATTGTTGAGGTAAAGAGGGATCAATGGCCTCTGCCCTTTCATGTCACGTGCACAGACTTAGCAATAGGAGCAGGACAAGGCCATTTAACTCCTTCTGTTATTCATTTGGATTGGATCAGGGCTAGCCATTATCTTAACCTGCCTTAGATCCATAACAGTTAACCACCTTCCCCAGTACAAGCCGATTAATCAGCCTGTTCAGTGAAGTCACGACCCACCTCTGGAGAAGGTAGAACTTGAACTCGAGCCTCTTGGTTCAGGTGTAGGCAGATTTAGTCTTCATCTCAGGTCGTTGAGTCTGTGGAACTGTCCTCCCCAGATGGGTGGAGGTGGGCTCATAGAATACTTTTTAAATCCACCTGTTCAGAAAAGTCACAGCACAGCTCTGGTGCAGGTGGGTCTTGAACCCAGGCCAACTAGCCCAAAAGTAGGAACATCATCCCTGCAGCACACAGGCCCATTGTCTCCATTCAATTGACTGCATAATTAATCATCATAAATATCTCAATTAAGTCAGCACTTAACCCTCTCAACTGGGAGAACCTGTCCTTGTAATTTAACCCTTTTAGCCCTGCTCCATTTGGCACTGCACCCCTCCAAGGATAATGGTCTGGTGACAAGTTCGCATTTTCTTTTAAAAATCAGGAGGAGATTTGAGGTAAAAGGTGTCCTCTCCGTTAGAATGGGAGCCTGATCTACACGCTTTTCGAAACTGGGTTGTGACCGATGCAGCATATGCCATTTGGGCCCTGTCCAGCTGGATCATTGTCTGACTCTGTATCGCTAAATCATGGTCCTGAGGCCTATGCCAAGGCTTCAGCCCATTGTCTGGGGCCCCCCTGCCATTGAGCAACACGACAAAATGTAACAGGTTCATCTAGTGGAGTGTGGGATTATTTCCACAGAGCAGATGTAGGTCCAGCCATGAATGACATAATAGCTTAAAAATGGGATTGGGGGAGGCCATTCAGAGCCTTGAAATAGCTCCGCCATTCAACAAAATCATGGTCAGTCGAAGCTGTGGCCATTTGAATGGTGGAGCAGGCTTGAGGGTAGAATGATCAATTCCTGCTCCTATTTGTTATGTTCTTAACTCAACTTGAATCTCCTCCCTTACTGCTCCCATATTCTGTACTTTCAGGAGATCAAAAATCTGTCTCAGCCTTAAATAAAATCAGTGATGGAGCCTCCATTTTCCTGATTTCTGAGTGAAGAAATTTCTACTCATCTGAGTCTGAAAGTTTTGACTCCTTATCCTGAGTCTGTGACCCATGTTTGAGCTTTCCTGGTCAGTGAGAAACAGTTTTTCTTCTCTAATCAGTTCAGAATGCCGTACATTTTAATGAGATCACCTCATTCTTCTAACCTCTAGAAAATACCGACCAAATTTACTTAGCCTCCCATCAAAGGGCAATCCTCTGATCCCAGGGACTAATCCAGTGAAGCTTCCCTGTGTACCAGGGAAACCATCTCCAACGTAAGGATATCCTTCCCTAAATATTGAGACCAAAACTGTGCACTGTATTCCAGGCGTGCTTTCAGTTATCAGTTTAATGGTGCAGTTATACAAAACCCTGGTTAGAGCCCACTTGAAGTTCTTTGTGCAGACCTGGAAAGATATATTGGCCTTGAAGGGAGTACAGTGTAGCTATACAGGAATGAGACCTGGACTGAGGGGTTAAGTAATGAGGAGAGATTATACAAATGAGGCCTGGTTTCCCTAGAATTTAGAAAGTTGAGGGGTGATCCGTTCGAAGTCTTCAAGATATTAACATTAAAAATCAGGGTAGATAAAGATAAACAATTTCCACTGGTTGAGGTTTCTAGAACTAGGAGACACAGTCAGAGCATGAGGGCAAGACTATTCAGGAGAGATGTTAGGAACCACTTTTACACACAGAGTGGCAGAAGTTTGGAACGCTCTTCCACAAACGGCAGTGAATGCTGGATCAATTGTTAATTTTAAGTCTGAGGTAGATATATTTTTATTAAGCAAAAGTATTCAAAGATATGGGCCAAAGGCGGGTAAATGGAGTTAGGTCACAGATCAGCTATGATCTCATTGAATGGCTTGAGGGGCTGAATGGCCTACTTATGTTCCTGTGTTCACCAAAGCCCTGTGTGACCTCTTGGCTGAGGTTCGAAATCTTTTATAAAACCTCTAGTTAAGTGGAGTATTGTGACCATGCCATGTTTCAGAGAAATTATCAAGGCCATGGAGACCGTGTGAGGAGATTTACTGGAATGATACCCAGGATTTGTTTTCTTGGTGATCACAAAACTAACAGTGATTGCCTTGGAAACCCATCTAGTTGTAGTTGACTCTTAACCACCCTCTGAAATGACCAGGAAAGACAATTCGGTATGGGCAACAAATGCTGCTCTTCCCAGCAACGCCCAGATTCCATGGAAGAATAACAAGAAAGTAATCTCTGCAGTATCTGACACACATGGGGAAGGAGGGCGGTCTGGTGACGATTACGTGAGAAATACGAATAGTGGCTGAAAGAACTCAAGTAATAGACAGAACTAAGTGTCCTCATAACCAACGGATCAGATCTAAGCTCTGCAGTCAAGCCATGTCTAGTCGTGAATAGTGTAGCAAATTAAATAGAAGGCAGCTCCTCAAATAACCCCATCCTCAATCTTGGAAGAGGCCAACATATCAGTGGAAAAGATGAGACTGAAGCATTTGCAATAATCATCAGCTAGAATTGCTGAGTGGATGATCCATCTTAACCTCCTCCACAAGTCATGTTCTTCAGGTGCCAGTCTTCAGCCAATTCGATTCACTCCACTTGATATCAAAAAATAATTGGAAGCACTGGATACTGTAGAGGCTAAGGGGTTTGACAAAATTCTGTCAACAGTACTGAAGACTTGTACTTCAGAACTTGCTGCACCCCTAAGCAAGCTGTTCCAGTCCAGTCACAACACTGGCATCTACCTGACAATGTGGCAAATTGCCCATGTTTGTCCTGAACATGAAAGGCAGGACAAATCCAGCCTGGCCAATTACCACCCCATCTGTCTACTCTTGATCATCAGCAAAATGATGGAAGGTATCATCAACAGTGCTATCAAACAGCACCTGCTCAGTGAACCCTGGCTTCACCAGGGCCACTCAGCCCCTGACCTCATTACAGCCTTGGTTCAAACATGGACGGAAGTGCTAAATTCCAGAGGTGAGGTAAGAGTGACAACCCTTGACATCAAGGGTGCATTTGATCGAGTGTGGCATCAAGGAGCCCAAGCAAAATTGGAATGAATGGGGATCAGGGGGAAACCCTCCGCTGTTTGGAGTTGTAGTGGTGTAACAAGGTCAGCCAGGTGGACCTTACAGAATGAGAGTTTCCTGATTTGGGCTGTTAATCTGGTCCAGTCCGGGAGCCTTGGCTGACAGATATAAACAGGCGTGTCAGAGGTTCTGTTCACTCTGGCTCTGACGAACGCAATTAGTGTCAAGGTCTCTCCACATGTAAATAAGGGGTGACTTGGGTGACAGGATACCAGCCTCTGTGGAGTTATTTCAGTGGCAATGAGAGGAAAGCACAATTCTGAAGAAATTCACTTACAACAGTCATATTTGAGCTGGGGATCATCATGCCATTATTTGGGAAGCTTGACTCATTCGATCCTGCCATCAAAGACTGGGCCCAGTATGTGGAAAGAATGCATTATTTTTTCCGGGCAAATGACATTGGGGCAGATGAAAAGTAATGAGTAATTGTCCTGACACCTTTTGGACCCATGGCTTTTTTGGTTATTGCTAACCTAACTTTCCCTGAGGCACCCGATTCTAAAACCTTTCAAGAGTTGATGGATTTAGTTAAGGAACATTACGACCCCAAGCCTTCTCTAATTCTGAGAAACTATTGGTGTTACTCTGTAATTCGATTGCCAGGGGAATCCGTATCAGAATTTTTGACTACATTAAGAGGACTGGCAGAGTTTTGGTTTAACCTTTAATGAGATACTGAAAGACTGTTACATAATTAATCCCACATACCAAACAATGCAGAAGCACCTGCTAACTGAGGCCCACCTGGACTTCAAACAGGCACTACAACTGGCTTTGTCATTTGAAAATGCAGCAAGTGGAGTATATGAGTTCCAGGGTATTCTGATGTAAGTGGACATTCTCGCCAGTCCGACTGAGCTTGGGGAACGCCACTAGAGTAAAGGCAATTGCACAGCTTCACTCAGGAATTTTCCTGAACAGAGGGACTCTGAGTCAGACCACAGCAAAACCCTGAAACAAAGCCAAGCCTTGGCTAAACAGTTAAAATTTTCTTCAGGATCCGGGCCAGCAAGCCATTGTAGTTACTGCTGGTGTGCAGACCCGAGACAGCAAAAGAGTCCCACTGGATTTAAATGGAGTAAGAAGACTCGTAAGCCGGTATCCAGGAGGGTGCCCGCCATGGAACGTCCACCTACATCTGGTTTAAAACAGTTAAATTGTTTAGCAACATGCAAATCAGAACCAATCAAAATAAACGTCTGGTTAAATGGTGATCTGGTTCTAATGGGGGTCGATACTGGTGCAGCCATTTCAGAGATCACAGAACGAGT